CCAACAGCCGGGACAAAAGGCCCTCCTGCCTGGGCTCGGCGCACCAGCCACGTGGAGGCCCATCTGTCCCGATTCGTGTTAGAACCTGGACCGAACCGGGACTAAAGGGGGGAGACATTAGTAACGACCCTTTAGTCCCGGTTCAAGAACCGGGACAAAAGGCCCTCACCAACCGGGACAAATCCCATGTTTTCTACTAGTGATGTAGAGTGCCTCCCTCGTTGCTGCCACGACGCGGGCGTTGGTGACCTCCTGCTGCGCGGTTACGGTGGCGGCAGCAGCCACGACGGTTTCACCCCTCGCATCCGCGGCGTGCCTCCGACTCTTCCTCTTGGCCGACTCCGCCGCCCGCTGTTCGGGCGTCAGCGCCTTCTTTGGCTTGGCCGCGGCGGCGGTTTTGCGCGGGGCATGAGGCTTGCCTTTGCCGGAGGGGGCGGTCTTCATGCCGGACGAGGCGAGGGAGGTGAGGCCATCGGCAGCGTCGAGGTCGAGGTCGTCATCCATGGAGGGTGCGGGGCGGAAGCGCGCGCGGGCGGAAGGGTTTTGGGGGAATGGGGGCAAATGGTGCTTGCTGCCACCGACCGGCGGGCTTGAGGAGAGGAGTAGGTGTGCACATGTCCGTCGTGTACCCGCGTCGACATAAATCCGGCTAAAAATTGGGTTAGAAATGGGTCGCCCGCAGACGAAAAGCGGACGCGCGTCCATTTGAATCGGCGCGTTAGGCCGCCTTTTGTGTCCGCGCCGATCCAAACGGACGGCGGCGGACGAAATGGGTCGCCCCGTTAGAGTTGCTTTTAGGATTATCGCCGTCGGCCAGAGACATATATCCGGCAGGCGACAAAGCTAAATCCGGAAATTTTGGACCAACCAATCAGCAGGGGAGGGGAGCTGCCATTTTCAATAAGCGCCGAGCTCAGCAGGTCGAACAGCTCCATTTTGTATCCCATCAACCAGCCCTTTTTAGTATTGTCCGCTGACGGGGTGTTCGTCCCCTGTCCACACGTTAGGTTGTTTCTTTAGTCGCTAATAAAAGAAGCTAGAGAACATTTCTAGACAAAAGAAACGGAAAGCTGGTGCCACTTGCTGTTGCTGAGGAGTGAGGAGTGTCACCTACGATGATCTCGAGGGTCACACTACGCTCTACAATTAGTAGTTAACTAACGTATGCAGATGTTGACAGGACGGCTTTCGATTAGACCACTTGACAGCAGGATGATTCATTGTCAAGGAGGGACACGTATCAAGGTCGATATTTTGGCCTGACGAGGGGACGCCACGCAAGGCTCCCCAGCGCAGACACGCGTCCACTTGTACTTGGCAGCTGTCACATCACGCCTCCCTGCTCGTAGACATCCCTCGAGTATATATATAGCTCGGCTACCACTCTAACATCACAAGTCATTCCTCATTCGTGGCACCAGTATTGCTCTCTCTTCTTTCTTGTTGTCACGGGTGTAAGATGAGCAGCAGCGCCGGCATGGAGTGCTCGGGAAGAGGTGACGGCGGCGGCGGCATGGTGGCGCCGCCGTTCGTTGCCAAGACGTACGCGATGGTGGACGACCCAGCGACCAACGCCGTGGTCGCCTGGGGGGCGGCCAGCAACAGCTTCGTCGTCGCGGACCCCTTCGCCTTCTCGGAGATGCTGCTGCCCGCGCACTTCAAGCACTCCAACTTCTCCAGCTTCGTCCGCCAGCTCAACACCTACGGCTTCCGCAAGGTCGACCCGGACCGCTGGGAGTTCGCGCACGCCTGCTTCCTCCGCGGCCAGACCCACCTCCTGCCCCGCATCGTCCGCCGCCGGAGCATGCGTCCTTCCAAGGACGACAACGAGGAGGATGAAGACAGCAGCAGCACCATGTTAGCCATGGAGGTTGTCCGGCTGAAGGAGGATCAGAGGGCCACCGAGGACCGCTTGGCGGCGATGTGGCGCCGGGTGCAGGACGCCGAGCGCCGGCCCAAGCTCATGCTCGCCTTCCTCCTCAAGGTCGTCCGAGACCACGACGTGCTGCGCCGCCTCGCGGCCGGCTCGGGAGCCGGCCAGGACGAGGGCGCGGAGGAGGCCAAGAGGCCGCGGCTGCTGCTCAACGGGGAAGCCCAGATGCAGGACGCCTTCGTGGGGGAACCCGGGGTCGACTTCACTGGTTTCTACACCGGAGGCGATGGCTTTAGCGGGGTGCCGGTGGACGACCCGCCGTACGCTTTCCCCATGGACGGCGGCTACTGAAGTACTGAGTACTGCCACTTGGTTAAGCTGGTGTTTCCAATTTGTGTACTGTACGTAATACATAGGGACTTTTTGGTTTTTTAGACGACGCGGCAAACTACTTTGTGAGCAAGGAGAGGAGACGTTTTGATGTATGGTTACTTTGTCAAGATGTTGTGCTGATCCAGTATCTTGATCATGCTCATAAAGATAGGATGTGTCTATCTATGTTCATAGAATGAGTGTATATGAGTGTATATGAGGGTCTGTGATTGTGCATTGTGTTAGAAAACAAGGAAAATACTTACCGTCAACCGATAGATAACTGAAACTCCCTCCACCACCTCATTTGCGTGACGCGTGTCAGGTGAAGGTCCGCCACTGCTGTATAACCGGAACTTCTTCCGCCACCTCATTTGCGTGACGTGTGTCCAGTGAAGGTCCACTACTGCTGTCATACCCAACCTTATCCCACCAGAGGCAGTGACTTTTTCCTCCATGAGTCTTCTTCCCTGGAAATCTCCATTGCTTCCTTCTCGCCAACACCAATCGCTGCATCATAGTTGTCGCCAAAAGTCACAACTGCTGATGCCCTTGCCGGCGATCGCCCACCTCACTGGAGAGGAGGATGGGGGCGCGGTTGTAGCCGGGGTCAGGCGCGGCGCCGCCGTTGCCACCCGCTTCCATCGCAACCGTCGGCCGTGCGCGGTATACCCACCTAGCCGGGGAGGAGGATAACGGCGAGCCGACCTGGTTGGAGGTCCAACGTTGCTCTTTCCTCTCCCCTGTTTGACGGGAGTCCGCGGCGAACGACGGACTGTGATTTATTTCTTGCAACATCTTCTGTGTTGCAAGAAACATTCATGTAACATCAGTGATGTGATGTTGCAAAATTTTCTTCCAAAACGCCTATATAAAAGTGAAGTCAAAAAGATTTATGTAACTTTAGCTTATTTGCTGCAAAAATTTCTACAGACGTTTCTGCAACATGATCTTTGTTACAAAAAAGAATTCTGCAGCATCACGTCTGTTTAATGGTTTCTGTAACACAACTTATGTTACAAATGTTTGTGCAACACCGCTCTTGTTGTAAAGGAGGTGGTGCACGTGGATGGGTAGATTGGACGCCCATCCCGCACGCATCCAATGGGCAGCCTCGCAGCGGATGTTTTCAACTTATCCACCGGCCGACGCGTACCGCGACCCATAGAAACAATGCTTTTGAAAAAAGTATGTGTGTGTGTCTATATATATATATATATATATATATATAGGGTCGCGCTATTCATCACCCTAGATGAGGAATTCTTATTCCTCACCCCAGCCTAACCACAAGAAACAAGCTTGAAACCTAAATTTACCACACGCTTGGACCTGTCCGAAGAAACGAAAGAAAAGCTTGGACCATAAGATTTGTGAGGTAAATTTACCTCGCGTCTCTACTGCCAAAATAATCGGAAGAAGACCCACACTTCTGATGGATCGTGGGAGGGCAGGTGCCATATTCGGCACCATCTCAGTCCACCGCCGCTGCCTCCGACCTGTTCCTGATGCAGCCACGGCGGTTCCCCGTCTCCGGAGGCCGGCAGAGCAGGTCACAATATTCATGCGGCCGCGAACTGGCTCCGGTGGCTTTGTAGGAGGAGAAGAGGTCATCCCGATGGTGTGATCCAGTTCAACGAAAGCAGCGCCGCCGCCTATTCCGAGCTCGACCTCAGCTCCACGACGGCGCTTGGTCGCTTCGACGCGCTCCGCCTCCGCGAGCTCGGTGACTGCGTTTCTCTCCTCTCTCTCTTCCTCACCTCCCCGATTGAAAGGATCCAGAGATTTCACCAGCCACCGTTGAGTCAATACGGTCTAGGTATCATCGACCACCTCTTCAAGTTTGGTCTCTCCTCCTACTTCATGCGCCTGTTGGAATTAAACACGACAAGACGTGTCCGTGTCCGGCAGTGCATGCACGTACGTATCCGTGTTGGTTTTCCTATCCTTCACCGAGTAGGATAAGATTAATTGGCAGGTTAGCTAGCTAATATAAATACTCATGTACCCCTGTACTCTTTGTACCGTCAAAAGCAATAAAGAAAACAACGGGAGCGACACGCTCCCGTGGCAATCCACATCGATTCTTTTGTGCCGTGCTGTGTACGTGAGCTAGCTTAGATCAAGTTGAGTGATTACAGCTAGAAGTGCTCGTGCGTACTACTAGTATACGTAAAGGCAAGGATCGATCAGGAACTAGCTAGTTGAGGCTAGCTTGTACTGCGGTGCAACTCGGCATAAAGCACTTCGTCGAGTTTGTTAGTGTTGGTTCGCTTCGTCGTCGTTCATCGTCGGTCGTTGCCATCGCCGGAAAGTACTCGGTGTCGGGTCTGGGCCAACAGCGCCCATGTAAACGGTGATTCCTACCTATTTTTTGACAGACTAAAGCATGCTTCAGAATTTGTGCGTATGAGTTTGGCATCAACTGGGGTGGTAAGTTGTGATGGGGAAATTACTGATCAAGGAATCACTCGTGTCTGTTGTAATGAGAGCAGAACGAAATTACCATGCTATGTGAGATTAACATGCTTATTCTAAGGCTTATAATATCAGAATTTTCTTGCGGCCTCTGCCACAACCCTAGGATGGCTTCGACCTCAGCATCTAGCCACAGCCACGTGCAGTTTTTCTTCAGCTTGTTGTTTAGGTACTTTCTACATGTTAATTTTGTTGGCTAAGTTCTTGTATTGTTTCCTTATCCTCATGGAGATACCCACATCCAATTCCGAAAGGAAGGTATTTGTGAACTAATGTTGTTTCATTAAATGGAAGCACCTCTCATTCTTTCGTTCAATCCTTTTGTTGTAGGGATTCAGGTGAAGCCTCACCATATACATAAGCTCCATCAAAACATACATTTTTTTCCTCTGCAGAATTTCTCTTGTGTGAACGACGGACTTGTATAGCCTGATTGCCTTGTCAAACTCATTGAATTTTCCTTGGCATTTTTTTGGGAAGGTACGGAAGAAAGATTTGTTCTAGAATGTAGGTTTGTGCCACAATACACGATGAGCAAATTTCGCTGCAAATACACTTCTATTGTTCAGAAAAGTTCTTGCTCTGTTACTCAGAGTCATACTTGCAGCTAGTAGCTCCTTCCAAACATTATTCCAATGTTACTAAATATATATTCTGTAGGTGCTGCTAAAATTCCCTACTAGAATAAAATCAATAATTTTTGGGATTCCTGTCTGTTTAGAATGCATGTGACTTTATTACCATCTATGTATATGGGTTCAAAATAGATATACCTCATGCTGGAGTTGAAGTAAATACTTCACACATTTCTTGTAGAGTTTGCTATCATTTTTGAGCTGCTTGTCTATCATCATTGATTTTCACATAAAAACTAGAAAATTATGTCATTAATTTTTAGGTAGAAATTATATCACCAAAGGCATCCCCAGGGCGTGCCATTTTTCACAGTCGAAAGAAGATGAGTTTCCACAATCAGTAATGCAAATTAGCGGCTGCTTCAGTTTTCTGGTTTTGTTTTGCAATCTGCATCATAGTCCATTGATTGTTTGGGCGATACAGAACAGAAGAACTTGCACTTTCTGTAGAATTTTGAATAGTGTATATTGTTAATAAATATGGTGAGGAATAGTTGACTCGACATATTTATCTTCCGGCAATCAATCAATCAAAACCTTATCAATCAATTGGATGCTAAATTTTGTAGTTGAGAAATAGTTGACTCTCTCCCTGCAAAGAAATGAAGTAGTGAAGTAGCTAGCTCTCAAATGAACATGTATATAGATCTTCGGGCTCTGTTTTGCATGGATCTAACTAGAAGCTTCATTTGGTTGGCAGACCATTGTCTTGAGATGGAGATTCAAGATGATACTACTTGTTCTATACAGATAAAGGAAATCTATGTGTATACAGTTATTTGGTACTTAATGTATTCCTTATTTCCTTGTTTTCTGGCTGGGCTTTTTTGTTCAGAATATCATTTTCTGTTTAGCACAACCACAACCACGTGCAGCTGCCCGACCTGTCGATCCTCGCCAAGAATTTAGAAGCCAGACTGAAGGCTGCCAATGCCAGAAGAAGATAGAAGAACTCTGAATATTTATGCCATGAATGGAACATGTCATTAAGCTGCTCTGTAGTTATTCAGTCTCACAAAAGATCTGAATGCAAGCAAAATTTGTAACAGGAAGGCAAATATTTCACCGCCAATTCATTTTCATGATGTATAGTCCTTTTCAAATTGAGGTGTAATGCATTTACCTTTTGAATTATTATGTCGATAAAATCGCTCCATGTGAGTGCTTGTCAATTTTCCTTGTAGAAGTGGTACTGGAAGTTTATTCTTCTAATTTGAGTGTGTTTTCAACAGAATATGATAGGCTTGTCAATAAGGGTATTGTAGAGTGTATCTGAGAAAACTTATGTTCATTTTTTTGTTTGGGATTCCTGCTCTGCATTTTCCTCTACTGTTTTGCACATCGGTTGGGTTGTGTTTGTGTGTTCAACTCATTAGCTCTAGACCACTCACAAAAAGGTTCCTGATTGTTGTTGCCGAGATATAGGAATTGCTGCCATGGTGCATTACACCACATAAAAACTATGCGAAAAGCACTTGGGTTTCATCACATAACCAGGTCTCTTTTACAATGAAACAAAAAGATGATGTGAGTTCATAACTAGGTCATCTTACAACAAATTTAGTACACTGCTTGACAAACTAGCATCTAAAAGTTCAATATCTACAAAAAAACTGTCTTTATGTAGTAGAACACACTCCAGCCAATCTTGAGATGGGCACTGGCTGGCCAAGCTGGAGGCATTTGTGTAGAGGTTGCGAATCCCCATCTGGATGATCATACAGTTTTTCAAAGATGTATTTCCAGTTAGCCTTTACAACCACCTCGTCTAGATGACCCTATAGTTTCAGCGACGATTAGTGAAAAAGTTCAAGAGCCTGGACAACAGTTACATGTACACACATCAATGCTCCTCCTGACTTCTGT